TTTCAAAAAGAAAAAATAGTGGGCGAGACAGAGCTCAAAGTCTTCTTGAATGCTCTTGGAATTCACTGAGCTTTTTTGATCGCAACCACACTGGCCGAATTCCGAATTTAGATGCTAATATTGCTAATGAAAAACAGAACATCCCAACCGAAACAAGAACTGTGTTAGCTGATAGCAAAAGCGTTAAAAAAGAATTTTCTTACGATCCCAACCAAACTGACTTCGCCCTTGACAAATGTAACGTCTTTCACTTGAATGATTGGTCTGATTTTTCACAGCTATTTATACCAAGAAATGTCCTGATCCCAGAGTTACCTCAGGGTCGAGAATTGCTCATAAATATAGTGGCAACATGGGGTGATATACATTACGTTGGACTAACTGGTATAGAAGTGTTTGATGCGACTGGAACAAATATTGCAGCTTGTTCTAAAATCTTTTCTTGCCCTAGTGATATTAACATTCTTCCTGAATATGGAAATGATCCTAGAGTTATCGGAAACTTAATAGATGGCGTAAACAGGACAAGAGATGATACACATATGTGGCTTGCTCCTTTTACTTTAGGAAATAATCATTTGATTCGCTTGATTTTTCCATTGGCTTTACACCAATTGGCTATGATCAGAATTTGGAATTACAATAAATCACGAATTCATGCCTCTAGAGGAGCTCGAGAAGTCAGCATTTTTCTTGATCGGAAATGTATATTTTATGGAGAAGTTAGGCGTGCTGCGGGACTCGAGAGTGGCGAGATAGAAGACTTTGCAGAAACATTATTATTTACAACTGATCTTACGATACTTGATCTTGTAGCCATGCAGGACGAAGCATTGGCAGCCGAGTATTCTCCATTCTTTTCAGATATGGCAAAGTCACTTGATTCAGATTCCACTTACATACCATTATATTTGGCATCAAGCGAGCTTGAAAGTTCAGCTGATGTTGGGATAACTAGCAAGCCAGAAGAAATTCCGGCTGACTTAGAGTTAAACAAAACTATTCAACTGATTGAACCAAGAGACAACACCTTGTATTGCGTTGACGTTGCTGCTCTTGGAATAGTCGATGCTCATTCAACACATTGGATTGATATTAAAATATTTTCTAATTGGGAAAATTCATCTGGCGAATTCGGGTTAACATTAGTGGAACTTCTTGATAGGGGTGGTAAGAAAAGATTTACTGAATTATGTTTACTGAAATATTTGCTGAACTATAGTTATCGTACGACTAAATTTTTCATGTTATTCTATTTGCAATGCAATGTTTAAAGTTGGTTGTTTGTGTCTTTATAATAATGTGAACTTTATATTAGTGCCAAAAGATTGAAGCTTTATCGTATCAAGTAACTCTGAGCTTAACAATGTAAAAATGTATTATTTGCGCTAAAAGCATTATATATAAAACTTATTATCTTTATTAAAAATAGCCCTTTAGCTAAATACTTCCTATAATTGACAGAATTGCCTGAAACTTATCACGAAAAGCACTATTAACTTCTCTTTTCTTAAGCTGTAAATTTAAGAACATATTTTTTTTAATTACAAAATTTCTTTTACCTACTAGGTCCTTAAATTGATTAGTTTATCCTATTACCATCTTTTGGCTGATTCTAGAACAAAGGTCCAAAACTTTTAGGATAAAATGGTGCTTTCTCTACTGCGTCTCTAAAAGCTCTTCTCACATTAGAATATAAATGTATTAGCCAGTAAAATCTTATATTCATTAAGTTTCTGAAGGAAGCGTGTCACCTTTTGCATCCCGTTTCTTTTCTTCTGCTTCTCTGCATGGTCGGAACGGCATTCGCCTTGGTTACTTCTGTTCTACTTTGGTGGATGCTGGTGCCGAGGTTGAGAGAGATTCTAGCCTTGGACTGAAGATGCTGGCCATGTCTTTGATAATAGAGAATCAAGACCCACCGGAGGATGCAAGTTGGACGTCTTCTCATGACATTATCTTCATTCATGGCTTAAAATAGTATACACGCAAACTCTTTAACCTGGCATTATTTGGATCGAAACACTGTTTCCAGCTGACTCCTTGTGAATTTATTCGTGTTACTGTTGCTAAATGCTCGATCCTTGGATGATAAACTGTCTTTTAAAAGGTGGGATGAAATTTTCAAACTAAGTAAAACAGGTTGCTTCCAAAATATAGACACTAAATAACTCCAGTTCTAGGTGAAAAAACTTCGTCGGGTCTCTTTTTGCTCTGGTCCTGTCTGAAATTGAATTTTTGGAGTTTATCACAAGTATATGGTTGTGCTCGGATGAAGCAAGCCCTATCAATATAATCATTAAATTATCCTGGTATACTAAATCCAAGGCTATCCTATTATGAGGAAGAAAAAGGACTCGAAAAAGAGTTTGTCTTATCTGAATATATTTTGCAATAATCGGAAAAGTCTAAATTCACAAAAAAAAGATGATGTATTCACCTGATTGAATAACATTCTTGGTCACTATCCACTTGAATCCACGAAAATAAGGACCTGCTACAAAAAGACTCATGATCTTCCTTTTGAGCCATTGGAATGAGACATCCTTTTATCAACAGCATAGTGTCAGCTCTTCATAATTTTGAAGACCAGAACAGAAGCTCATTTCAGCTTTTAAGATGACCTTTTACTAAGATTAATATTCAGAATTTAAACTTTAAAAACTAGATATGAAGACCAAGATGTTGTGGCCTCTAGTATGATCGCAGTCTTCTTTCGATTTATAGAAATGGGTTGACCTCGTTGTCGTAACTTGGTCTTGTTTTCAGGGAGACTATGTAGAACACACCTAGTCTGAAGTTGTCTGCCATAGTAGTTGTCATGATTCCCAGCATCAAGTCCACTGTCAGATGCTGGGAATCATGACAACTACTATGGCGTTCTACATGGTCGCCCTGAAAACAAGATCAAGTTGTGACAACGAGGTCAATCCACTTCTTTAAAAACTAGGGTGTTGAAATTTTGTAGGGACTCAACTCAAATTCATACCCAATTCGGATACCATTGCTTTTACATAAATTGTTGGCATTATATAGAAAGGATAAACTTGTCAAATAGCCATCATCACTAGCTCTTAACTATTTATCAAAGGCTCTACCGAGCTTCGAAAATAGATTTTGTGCAAAAGCATTTAAGGCTTTGCCTCAACTTAAGTAGATTTATCGTAACCTAATCCTGTTGATAACATTTGCAGAAATGCTGTACAACGTAACTGAATCCATCCCAACTGGCGTCTGTGTGAGTATACGTCACTTCATATACTACTTATTAAGCATGAAGCAGCGCCAAAAAGAGAGATTAAGAAACTTCACTCGCTTCATTCTGCCTAACCCATTAATCGTACAACTATAAAAAGTCTATGAGATGTTTTCACCCAATTTCGTTTAAGGTGACGAAGCACTGGTAGAATAATTTTCCCACAATGATATGAGCAGAGCTGACGTTTCCATTGAATTTTGCATAGCCTTGCTTTCCCAAAAGTTGTTCTCATGCAGGCACCAATGGACTGCAGTTTCGACCTTGCATGTGTCTTATCAACACCCCCAGTGGGAGTCGAACCGTGACAGCGCAGAATGGGAGCTTGACACGTTAACCACTCGGCCACATTGCCACGAGTGCCTTTGGGTCACAGAGCAGATGTGAATTTCAAG